TGAGCTAAGGGCCTCAGAGAGTGAGCCAAGGGCCTCAGAACAGGGACACAACAGTGGAATGAGGAATACCTTTAAAAATGTAGAGTATTCAGTTATAACCTAGAGTTATAAATCAGAATCTCTGGAGGTTGGGCCCAGAAATTTTCATTTTTAAGCCCGCAACCCAGGTGAGATTTTTCTATACTCGAACATATGAGGAGCTCTGGTAGATAGTTTAATAATATTTTGAGACTCTAATTTTAAAAAAATATATTTATTTTAGACTAAATTGTAATTTGTCATTTAGATAAACCTTTCATAGATTCAATATAAACCTAACATTCTGCATGTATAATTTTCACACACCTCAAATGATTTTGTTATGCTTTTAATCACACTTAAAGACCATGGTGTTCTCAGAATGCCTATTTAGAATTATGTCTATGTTTTTGTAGGTATCTGGGAGGCAATTACATTGCTGTTGTAGAAGGTTTAGAAGGGTTAAAAGAACTAAGAGAGCTTCATGTTGAGAGTCAGAGGCTTCCTCTTGGTGAAAAGCTTCTGTTTGATCCAAGAACTCTTCATTCTCTGGCAGTAAGTTCGTATTTGAATATTTTGACAAAGATTATGTGATTAACAAGTTATAATGGAACAAAAAGGTGATGAAGGCATATTTGGACACTGTGCATACTCTACATGTTTATATGGCCAATTGCTAGTTTATATGAGTACAGAAGCTGATTTTTCCCACATAATGTCTCAGAAACCCAGCATCTATAAAGTTGGGATAACAATGCCTGCCTTTTCAGGTAACTGGAAAGATCAAAAGAAGGATATGAAATGATTGTATAAACAGAATTTCTAATACAGAAGGTAATTCATTCATAATGTAGATCTTGGTGATTATCATGGCTCAAAATTTTAGGTTTTAGGAAAAAACCTAAGGAAAAAGGAGTGCAGAATTATTTGGCAACTTTTTTTTTTTTTGAAGTTTTTGGCCAGGGCTGGGTTTGAACCCACCACCTCTGGCATATGGGGGCCAGCACCCTACTCCTTTGAGCCACAGGCGCCACCCTATTTGGCAACTTTTAAACAAACTAGACAACAATTGTAATGAGAAGTCATTTCCTCCCTGGATCCTGATTTGATTGCAGGTTGCACTATATATGGTTCTGTCCCATCAGAACTATTTGGGCCTGGAAGCATTGGGTTTGGGACCCCAGTTAAGTCACCTGACAACCCAGTCATATGAGATGGCAATGCCACAGTAAGTTGAGAAGCCAGAGGGCATCAGTGAAGCTCTTGCTAACCCCCAGAGTAAAGGGCTTGTTAGAATAGGCTAACATCATCTCTGGGGCAGGAAATATAAATGTGACATGTTTATTTTTCATAGAATACTTCAGTTTCATTTTAGAGTGCCCAGAAATGGAAGGCAATAGATGGATTTTGAACCAAACTTACAACAATTGAGAGACAAATCCTTTCCTTTTCTATTTTTAGTAGAGACAGAGGTCTCGCTTTTGCTCAGGCTAGTCTTGAACTCATAAACACAAGCAGTCCTCCTTCCTCAGCATCCCAGTGTTCTAGGATTACTGGTGTGAGCCACCATGCCCAGCCGAGAGATAGGTCTTTAAATTGGATAAGAAATGACCTGGTTTCTATTCTACTCCCACCAATGTCACAATAGAATCAACTGCCACCAATCTTACCTCAATCTCAACTGATCACATTGTGGGGATGGCTAGTTTTATTAAAAACACTACTGAAAACATTTTTGCTGGTTCAGTTTTTACACAGATCCAAGCACAATCTGTAATTCTAAATATAAAGCACCATTTTTTCATTTTTATTTTAAGTCTTAAAAAGTATTAGTTGTCAGGCTCAGCACCTGTGGCTCAAGCGGCTAAGGTGCCAGCCACATACACCTGAGCTGGTGGGTTCAAATCCAGCCTAGGCCTGCCAAACAACAATGACAGCTGCAACCAAAAAATAGCCGGGTGTTGTGGCAGGTGCAAGTAGTCCCAGCTACGTGGGAGGCAGAGGCAAGAGAATCACTTAAGCCCAAGAATTTGAGGTTGCTGTAAGCGTGATGCCATAGCACTCTACCCAGGGCGACAGCTTGAGGCTCTGTCTCAAAAAAAAAAAAGTATTAGTTGTCAGGAGCAATGACTCACACCTGTAATCCCAGCACTTCAGGAGGCTGAGGTGGGAGGACAGCTTGAGACCAAGAGTTTGAGACTAGCCTGGGTGATATAGTGAAAACTATCTCTACAAAAAAAATCTTTTTCTACAAAAAAAGTTTTAAAAATTAGCCAGGTATGGTGTGCCTGTAGTCCCAGTTACTTGGGAAGCTGAGGCAAGGGGATCACTTGAGGCTGCAATGAGCTCTACATCACTGTACCAGCCAGACCCTGTTGCCAAAACAAAAGAAACAAAAAAAAAGTTTAGGAATTATTTTTTAAAGGGTGGCCTTTTTTTGGATGTCTCTTGGACTGCCTTCATCTTTTTTTTTTTTTTTAAACTAATAAGAACAAATGCTATAGTTGATTTTAACCAAAATGCTATGAACTAATAGATGACTCCTTCTTGGTAGAGATTCTTGGGCCTCAGATTTTAATCAGCTAATTTTATTTTAAGTAGCTTCTGAATATATGGATTGCCAAGAGAGAACCAGATATTTTATCATTCTTAGTCTTATTTCCTATATATAAAAACAAAGACAAAAACTATTTTTTTTTTATGTAAGTAGAAATTTTAGTGATACTTAGCACAAAATCACTATTTGCTTAAAGTGGAATAAGCATTTTTTCCATGCTGTGTTATTTGTTTGTTGGGGGCATCTTTCATGTTTCTTTGCATTTTTGATTCTTAGCTTCTTTGTTCTTTTTTTTATAAATTATTTATTTTATTGTTTGGGATTCATTGAGGGCACAAAGAATTAGGTTACACTGATTGCATTTGTTAGATAAAGTCCTTCTTATAATTGTGTCCTGCCCCAAGAAGTGTGCCATACACCATGACTCCCCATCCCCCTTCTTACTCCCCTCTCCCCACTCCCTTATTCTCCTACCCTACCCCTTCTTAGCTTCTTTATTCCATAAATTTATCTTGTATCTTGGAAGAGAAAAATAAAACTTATAGAAGAATTGTAGAGAGAAAGAGCAAGTAAGATCACATACTATAGTTCTATAAGTTTAATCTGAAAAAAATGCAATAAAAACAAAATGGCCATGGCTTTTGACTTTTTTGCCTAATGGGCCTGAACTGACAGATACTAACCCTTTCAAGGATCAGGATTTCTGATTCCTGTTTATAATGTTTAGATTATTTACTGATGCTAATTTAATTATTTTTCTTACAGAAGTCCCTCTCCATATTAAATATCAGCAATAATAATATTGATGACATTAGAGACTTAGAACTACTGGAGAATCTTAGTCAGCTCATAGCAGTTGACAACCAGCTTCTTCATGTGAAGGTAGTGTGAACAAAAATTAATTTTATTAGGCAGGCATGGTGGCCCACACCTGTATTCCCAGTTCCTCAGGAGGCTGAGGCAGGAGGATCACCTGAGCCCAGGAGGTGGAGGTTGCAGTGAACTATGATGATGCCACTGCACTCTACCTTTGGCAACAGAGCAAGACCCTGTCTCAAAAAAAAAAAAAAAAAAGAAAGAAAGAAAAGAAAAGAAAAATTAATTTTATAGAGTGGCATAATGGACATTGGAAACTCAAAAGGCAAGAGAGTAGGAAGCAGAGGGATGAAAAATTCCCCATGAGGTAACATGTATGGACATGCCAAAAACCTTGACTTAACCACTGTACAATATAACATGGAATGGAATTCAACTTATATCCTCTACATCTATTAAAATATAAAAGAAGGGGAAAAATTAATTTTTTTTTGAGACAGAGCCTCAAGCTATCCCCCTGGGTAGAGTGCTGTGGCATCACAGCTCACAGCAACCTCCAACTCCTGGGTTCAAGTGAATCTCCTGCCTCAGCCTCCCAGGTAGCTGGGACCACAGGCGCCCGCCACAATGCCTGGCTATTTTTTGGTTGCAGCTGTCATTGTTGTTTTTTTTGGTGGGCCTGGGCTGGATTCGAACTCGCCACCCTAGGTGTATGTGGCCGGCACCTTAGTCACTTGAGCCACAGGCACCGAGCCAAGGGGAAAAATTAATTTAAAAATATTTTTATGAAATTTTGATGGGAAAATACTAATGTTCTGAAATAACTATAAAATGTATCACTTTTTAAACTACTCTGGATTTATTCTAAGGCTAAATAATGAATCTCTACTTCAGAATGTGCTTATTTGCATAATTCTGTGCTCTTACCTGGTTTTCGACTCCATTTTCCAAATGCCTCTATCAAGTTACAGAGGACAAGTTTAACTTATGAAGTTGAACCAGAGAGGCTGTGAATGAAAAACCGCAGCAGAGGGTGGTGCTAAAACAAAGGGAATTTTATGGAAGACTGAACACTTACATGTTAGAGAATCAATATTTCCCTCCCTCTCATACACAAAACTAAGCTCTATTTCCCAAACCTTGTCTCCATGGCTTTAAAACCCAGGCAAAAGGTAGAGGATTCCTCTTTAGGGGAAACTGAAAAGTTCAAGAGAAAACATCTAGGCTGGGCACAGTGGCTCACACCTGTAATCCTAGCACTCTGAGAGGCCAAGGCAGGCGGATTGCCCGAGCTCAGGAATTTGAGACCAGCCTGAACAAGTGCACCACCCTATCTCTAAAAAAGTGGGACACTGTGGCACCTGTTGTCCCAGCTACTCGGGAGGCCAAGGCAAGAGGATCACTTGAGCCCAATAGTTTGAGGTTGCTGTGAGCTATGATGACACCACAGCACTCTACCCAGGGTGACAGAGTGATACTCTTTTTGTTTAAAAAAATAAAAAGACCCCAAAAACAAAATACAAAAAAAAAAAAAATTACAAAATCAAGAGAAAGCACCTCCTAATTCTGACACTTCAGGGTTCCAGGGGGAAAATGCCAGCTGCCTGACTGCCCAATTGCAATATATGAGACCAACTAGTCAACAAGCCTTACTCTTCCACAAAAAGCTCTCATTCACTTTCATAAATGAACAGGCATCTCAGGATTAGTAGACAGACATCTGAATGGAACCTCTAAAATCAAAGAAAGAAGGACAGAAACAAAAAGGAAGTATTCAGAAGAAATATAAGGTTAGATGATTAAGTTCATAAACTCATCTTAGAAAAATGTGCTACATACCTCATTGCTGTTTATCACTACCATTATTATCAAAGTACTCCCTTTGGCCATGTGGTGACTATAGTGATATTTGGCAATGAAGTATGTAGCACTTTTTCTAGGATAAGTTCATGAACTTAATTGTCAGACCTCATATATCATGTGTAAACAGAAAAAGAAAAAAAAAAAACTAGGTCAGATGCAGTAGCTCACGCTTGTAATCGTAGCACTCTGTGAGGCCAAAGCAGGAGGATCACCTTGAAATTAGGAGTCTGCAGCTCCCGCTAAACAACAATGACAACTGCAACAAAACAATAGGCAGGCACTGTGGTGGACGCCTGTAGTCCCAGCTACTTGGGAGCCTGAGGCAAGAGAATTGCTTATACCCAAGAGTTTGAGGTTGCTGTGAGCTGTGATGTCACAGCACTCTACCGAGGGCAACATAGTGAGACTCTGTCTCAAAAAAAAAAAAAAAAAAAAAGACAGAAAGAAATTAGGAGTCAAAGATCAGTCAAAGCAAGAGCTAGAACCTGTTACTACTAAAAATAGGAAAAAACAGCAGGCGTGGTAGTATATCCAGGCTGAGGCAGGAGGATCCTTAGGGAGTTCTGAGGTTGCAGTGAGTTTCAATGGCAACACTGCACTCTACCTGGGGTGACAATGAGACTCTGTCTCAAAAAAAGAGTAATTTTTTTTCAGGAAAATTTTAAATTTTTGTTCTTTGAGCACTTTGAAAAATATTTCTAATGAAATGGTAAACCACAGATGAGGGAAATATTAGCAATATATGTGTCTGACAATTTGTATCTAGAAAAAAAGCTCTTCTGAGTCTACAGTAAGAAGTCAAATGATACATTTTAAAAATGGGCTAAAGATTTCAACAGTGACTTTACAAAAGGAGATACACTAATGGTAAATAAATACAAGAAAAGACACTCAGAACAGTTATTCAGAAGCAAAATGCAGGTTAAAACTAAAATGTGAAACTACTACACACCCAATAAAATGACTAAAATTAGACTGACAATACCAATCGTTGATGAGGATGTGGAGTAACTGGAATTCTCAACCACTGTTGAGGAAAATGTAAACATGTACAACCTCTTTGGAAAACAGTTTGATAGTTTTTTATAAGGATGAACATTCACTTACCATATGACCCAGCAACTGTACTCCTGAGTCACTTGCCCAAGTGGAATGAAAATCTACATGTGGACCAAGCATGGTGGCTCATGTCTATGAACCCAGCACTCTAGGATGCAGAGGCAGAAGGATTGCTTGAGGCCAGAAGTGTGAGACCAGCCTGGGCAACAGAGCAAAACCCTATCTCTAAAATTTTTTTCTTTACCTCTTTTTGCTCTTCCTAATCACACAGGCCCAGCGTATGCTTGGAATGTTTCCAAAGAGTGAAAGGAAGGCTCTCCTAATGCATAACCGACTTGTCCACAATGGTTCTCTGCTCCTAGGAGTACAACATCTTCAGGTCCTGGGGTGGAGGGTTTAAAAAAAAAGATTAAAAATTGTTTTAAATCTATGTTTGTACAAATACCTGTATGCAAATATTTATGGTAACTTTATTTATAATATTGTAAACAACTAAGTTTCCCTTAAATGTGCCACAGATAAACAATATTCCATACAGTGGAATACTACTTGGAAATACTAGGTCATTAAATCTGAAATGTTTGATTTCAAATAAAAAATTTAGTTTGTTATATCTCAATCAAGTAGCAGTACAATTAATCAAAGTATGCACCTAAACTATCAACACAGTTTTGGCATCTTATGGGCAGCTTGTGTGTGCCAGCAGTGAAGAAGCCTAGACAGGCAGTGGCAATGAAATTTCAAAAGGCATTTTCCACAACTTTTTGAGAATTGAAAATATTTCCTCGCAAGAAGTGAGCCAAAGCCTAAAGAAGTGGTAGTCAGTTGATGCAAGGTCTGGTGAATACAGTGGATGACAGAGTTTCCAAGTCCAGCAGCGTTGTCTGTGTGAGAGCATTGGATTAGCCTGTCTCAGCTGCTTAACTGACAGCATCTTCATCATGCCATCCACTGGTTGCAGTAGACATCTCCTGTAATCAACTGACCAGGTTTCAGGAAGCCATACTTGATAATACTAGCGCTGGACCACCAAACAGACACAATTAGCTTTTTTTGATGAATATTCAGTTCTAGACTGTGTTTTGTCACTTCATCTTTATCCACCATTGTGCTGAATGCTTGCAATTGTCAAGAAGATTCCATTTTTCATCCCATGTAATACAGTGTAGAAATGATTCATCTTTACATTGTGTCAGAAAAGAAAGGCAAGCTTCGTGACAATTTCTTTTCTGACACTTGTTTAATTCATATGGAATCCATCTGCCTGGCTTCTTTACCTTGCAGACTTGTTCAAAAGGTCCAGTATTGTTGGAATAGTAGTCAAATGTTGCTGCTAATTCACACATAGGTTGAGATGGATTCGCTTCCACTACGCTTTCAGCTCATTATTATCCACTTTAATCTTAGGTTGTTGCCTATGTGGCTTATTTTCAAGATTAAAATCACCAGAATGGAACTTCTCAAAACATCAAGGTACTGTGCATTCATTAGTCACATCCTTCCCAAATACTTTGTTGATATTTTGAGCTATTTGCACTGCATTGGTTCCATAATGGAACTCATTTTCAAAAATAACACAATTTTTTTGCTTATCCATAGTTGCCTAAAGATTGCTCTGAAAAAAATTTGAAAGATAATGACAAGCCAAAATGTGCATTTTGAAACAGTGAGTATGTACCTACACAATTTTTAAAAAGGAAATGTCAAAGTGAAAAGTCAGAGACATCAACTGTCAAACTTAGTAGTTTAGGAAATTGGACATTTCATACTTAATAAACTAATAAGGAACAAACTACTGATGCACAGAGCAAGATGAACAAATTCAAAACTTCTTTGGTTTATGTTTTTTTGGTTTTTTGTTTTTTTTTTTTTTTTTAGATAGAGTCTCACTCTATTGCCCAGACTAGAGTGTTGTGGCATCAGCCTGGCCCACGGCAACCTCAAACTCCTAAGCCCAACCAATCCTCCCACCTTGGCCTCTCAAAGTGCTAAGATTATAGGCACAAGCCACTGTACCCAGTTCAAATTCAAAAGCTTTAAAGAATACAGACTGTATGACTCCATTTTTATGAAACTCTTGAATTGTATGAGTTCTGACAATTAAGTTCACAAACTCATCCTAGAAAACAAGCTACATACCTCATTGCTAAATATTACAATCACCTTCAAAGTACTCCCCTTGGCAAGCTATGCCCCGACACCAGTGCCTAGTCTATCCTTCAAACCAATTTTGGAATGATGTTTTCTGGAATGGCCAACAAAGCTATCATCATATTACTCTTGGTGTCCTAAATGTCATCAAAATGTCTTCCTTTCACTATTTCCTTTATCTTCAGGTAAAGTAAAAAAGTCATTGGGGGCGAGATCAGGTGAGTAGGGAGGGTGTTCCAACACAGTTATTTGTTTACTGGCTAAAAACTCTCTCACAGACAGTATCTTGTAAGCTGGTGCTTTGTCATGATGCCAGAGCCATGAATAGTTGGCCAAGATTTTCGGCTAAGATTTTCCCATTTCTCTATATAAGTTTACTTGGTCTGCTATGCTTCTTATAATCAGCTGAAGATTTTGACACACAATTTGATGAATTTCTGCAATGTTTTTGTCAGTTCTGCTCATTACTGGCCGCCCTGACCTCTCTTCATCAGCAATGCTTTCTCTCCCCTCAGAAAAACATTTAATCTGTTTGTACACTGCCATTTTCTTCATGGCATTATCCCCATAGACTTGGATTAACATGTCTCTGATTTCACCTCCACTCTTGCCAAGTTTAATAAGAAATTTATAAATGTTTGTTCACTGCTCTAATTCAGGCTCCGACATTCTTGCAACGGCACCCAAAAACATGCACAACAATATGAACACCACTCAGCAAGTCACTGCCACCCGTTGATACCATCACAACTGTGGGATACTGACATAGCAAGGATATGAAACCTTACCAAGTGGTCTGTACAGTGCTGCCAACGTAAGGGCATGGTGGCAAGTTTGTGAACTTAACTATCAGGGCTTGTTTAGTAACAGGTAGCATCAGTAATTGCCTAACCCAGAGAATGAGAAGAAGTCGACTACAACAGGCTATAAGTGAATCTTTTGGGATGATGAATGTTCAGCATCTTGATTATGGTGATTGTTATATAAGTATATATGTTTGGTTATTTAAATGGATGCATTTTATTGTATGTAAAATATCACTCAGTAAAGTTGATTTTAAAATAATATTAGAAAATTTTCAGAACCAGAGGACATGAGTTTCCAGATTTAAAACTGTTTTCCAAATGCCCAACACAGTAGATGAAAACTGACTCTCAACAGGGTTGATTCTTAAAGCTTTTTAGGACACCTGGAACAAAGACAATATTCTAAAAATTTCCGTAGAGATAAGAGAATCATAATAACACAAAATTAGTAATGAAAATGACTCAGTTATAAGGCTTTTCATTATAAAATACAGTAGAACAATGCCTCCTTTTTAGGAGGAACACATTTTCCCTCTATTGCAACTTTAAACTGATTGAAAAATGGAGTAGATAATTCTAGATTGAGAGTATTTTTCCCTTAAAGTTTTAAAGGCATTGTTCAACTGTATTTTATTGCAGCCCAATTCATAACTGCCAAGTCATGTAAGCAGCCCAAGTGCCCATCAACCCATGAATGGATTAACAAATTCTGATATATGTACACTTTGATTTTCTAAAATTCCAATTTAAAAAAAAAGAGTAAGGTGGAGGGAGGGAGATTGGAGGGATCACTTCTGAGGTTTATCTTACAAGAGTACAAGTGAATCTTTCTAAGAGTAGAATATGAACGTTTTAACACAATAACTAAGAAAATGACATGAAGGCTACGTTAACCAGTTTGATGGAAGTGTTTCGGATTATGTGTGAAAATACCACACTGTACCCTAGAAGTGCATTAATGTACATAGTTACCATTCAATAAAAACAAAAAAGAGTAAGGCTGAGTGTTGTGGTGTATGCCTATAATCTCAGTACTTTGGGAGGCCAAGGTAGGAGGATTGCTTGAGGCTAGGAGTTCAAGACCAGCCAGGGTAATTGTGAGAACCCCATCTATAATAATACTAGCTAGACATTGTGGTGCATGACCTACTTAATATAGTTTTCTTACTAAACATCCCCATTAGACTGACAAGTCTTTGAGAGCAAGTAGTTTTGATTTATTAACTTCAGGATTATTCAGAGCTCAGCCCAGTACCTGGCACATAGTAGACACCTACAACATGTTAAAAAACAAATGAATAGGCCGGTGTGGTGGCTCATGCCTATAATCCTAGCACTCTGGGAGGCTGAGGCAGATGGATTGCCTGAGCTCAGGAGTTTGAGACCAACCTGATCTAAAGCAAGACCTCATCTATAAAAAATAGCCAGGCACTGTGGCAAGCACCTGTAGTCCCAGTTACCAGGGAGGCTGAGGCAAGAAAATCACTTTTAAGCCTAAGAGTTTGAGGTTGCTGTGAACTGTGATGCCACCGCACTCCACCAAGGGCAACAAAGTGAGACTCTGTCTCAAAAAAACAAACAAAAAAGAATGAATGAATAAAGGTACAAAAAATAATCTGAGGAAAAAATGCCGATCATTCAGTTAAGTTCCAGCAGCTGGGATATGCCAAAAGTTGCCTTTCCCTCTCACAGAGGGAAGATATCAGGGACTGAGGATATCTCAAGTTCTTTTACTGTCAGCATGAAGACACAAATAATTAAAAATGCCTGCATACAGCTTCTTGGAAGTCTGAATATGGACATCACTCAGGATACATTTGAAATGTGCTTCTTTGGTTGATTTTAAATCATCTTCTGAAGGCTTAGTCAAAGGAAGAGTATTAACTAGCCTAACATCAGAATATTAACTTGTTTTTCTCTATATTCCTGGGATCAGCATCTCTATTTTTAGCTTTAATTTTTGCATTCTTTTTGCTCATTGATGTTCAAAAGCTACTGACACCAAACCCTATGCTACACTGGAGAGATCTCTCATGCTATACATAAGGTCACTGACATCCATCCTAGGAGTCGTCAGCAACAGACAGCTTTGTGCCTTAGGGGAAAAGAAGTGTACATCATTAGAGAATCCTAACAAAACCACTATAATTACCTGAGGTTTTCAGCACTAACAGCAGCTGCATTTATATGGACAATAGTAGGTTACTCAAATGCATCTACAAAAAATACATCCAATAACTAACTACATTTCTTATCCTGGAAAGTATAATTTAAAAAATGGTACTTTTGCTGATATTTACCATTGTCTTTAAAATAGCAATTCAAAATTTAAAGGCTGCATTCAAATGCATATTAAAAATATTTTAGTCACACTCATTGTATTGAGTATTATGAATTTTGTTAACATTATCCAGTACT